TGAGTTGGCTATAATGAACACTTGGTTTAGGAAAAGAGACTCTCACCTTGTAACCTATATATAGAAGTGGAGCTAATAGTACCCAAATTGATTACTTCTTAGTACGGACTACTTGGAGAACTAGCTATATTGATTGTAAGGTTATCCTAGGTGAGAATGTTGTCACTCAACATAGGATGCTTGTGCTTGACTTTCGAGGTAAGAACCATAGAAGACAAGTTAAGCAACAAGTGGAGCCAAAGATAAAGTGGTGGAGGCTTGAGTGGGATCTTCAACAAAGCTTTACACACAAAATGTTCGATGAAGATGTATGGCGTATTGATAATGAAACACATGTGGATGCTGCGTGGTTATCAATGGAGCTGACCATTAACAAAGTGGCAAAGGAGGTACTTGGAGAATCCAAAGGATGTCTGCCACCAAAAAAGGACACGTCTTGGTGGAATGATGAGGTGAAACAAGCCATAAGGAATAAAAGAGATTGCTACAACAAGTTGGGGACAAATCGGAGTGATGAGAACATAAAAGCATACAAGGAGGCTAAAAGACAAGCAAAGAAAACCGTAAGGGAAGCACACGGGAAAGTGAACAAGGAGTTGTGTGAAAAATTGGACTCTAAGGAAGGAGAACAAGATATCTATAGACTTGCTCGTCTTCGTGATCGCAAGACTCAAGATATCGGAAAAGTTAAGTGTGTGAAGGATGTCGATCAAATGGTATTAATGGAGGACAGAGAGATAGGGGTGTTTGGAATTGATTCTGCTTCTGCTTCTTTTTTAAAAACAGAAGCAGAATCAGAATCAGTTTTCAGAAGCTGGTACCTCCTAGCTTCTAAAAAAACTGATTCTGAGAGTAAATTAGAGCTCCAGAAGTGCTTCTGGAATTTCACCCAAACACTCCAGCTTCTGCTTCTCCCTCCAGAAGGAGCAGAATCAATTTTGAGAATCAGATCCAAACACCCCCATAAAAGAGAGGTGGAGGTCATACTTTGATAGATTGTTCAACGGGAACAAGGTGCAAGATATTGGTGATTTGACCATACCAGATTGTATGGTAAATCGTGATTTTGTGAGAAGGATCCAAACAAAGGAAGTTAAAGAGGCTCTGAGGAAGATGGGCGGAAGAAAGCAGTGGGTCCAGATGGTAGAGCTGTCAAACGGGCCAACCCGTTTACTAGCAGGCTAGAATTTTTGTGACCTTAACCTGATCTACCTAACTCACGGGTTATGCGGGCCAACCCGCGGGCCATAAAAGTCAAAACAAAAAAAACAATTAAATATCCAAATTAAAATCCAAACATAATTGAAATAACAAATAAATATCTAAATTAAAATCTAAACACAATTAAAAAGGAAAAAATAGTGCTTGAAAATCCTTTGGTTGTATACTTCAATGTATCATTGTGGATAACTGGTATACTTAAAAAGTTAAAAGCTGAAATACCTTATTGCTTTAATGTATCATCGTGGCCTCGTGGGTATACTTAAGCTGAAATACCTAATTTCTCATTTATTTAGTTTGATTTGGATATTATGAACATAATACATTAATATTAGAAGTGAGAAAAGAACTAGAAGTAAAGAAAGAGTAAACTAGAAGATATAATTGATTTTCCCAATTTTTTGTTTGCCTATTCAAATTCTCCCAGACTCCCGGATAAACATGTTTCTTCATCTCCTTCAGTCTTTCGTGACTTTGTGTCTGTTCGACTAGAGTATATTTCAACAATTTACTTTGTCGATCATATATAGAAATAATAGAATTAAAAATACATAGAATAAATGATATTTGTCTTCAGCCCGCGGGTTGGCCCGCAACCCGTATGGGTTGGCCCGCAAAACCCGCAACCCATTAGGGTTGACCCATTGAGCCCGCAAAATAATCGGGCCTGAAAATGATAGCCCTAACCCACTTATAAGTGGGTTGAAACGGGCCAACCCGCGGATTTCGGCCCGTTTTGACGGCTCTACCAAATGGCATACCGATCGAGGCTTGGAGAAGTTTGGGAGAAAGAGGCATCAGGTGGTTAACAAATTTATTCAACAAGATTTGGAGAAACAACAAGATACCAACGAGTTGGAGAAAGAGTACTCGTATTCCATTATTTAAGAATAAAGGTGATGTACAAGCTAAGAATGTGCCAACTATCGAGTGATTAAGTTTATGAGTCATACCATGAAACTTTGAGAGCGAGTGATTGAGCAAAGACTTCGAAGAACGGTGAAGATTTTCGAGAATCAATTCGGTTTTATGCCTAATCACTCAACAACTGAGGCTATTCACCTCCTTTGGCAACTTATGGAGAAGTGTAGAGACGCTCACAAGGATTTGCATTTAGTATTCATTGACTTGGAAAAGGCATATGATAGGGTACCTCGGGAAATTCTTTGGTGGGCCTTAACTAGAAAAGGCATTTCACGTAAGTATATCAGCATCATCATGGATATGTATGAGGATTGTACTACAAGTGTCCGTACTAGCAGAGGGAGGACTGCGGAGTTCATTATTAGTATCGGAGTGCACCAAGGATCGGCTTTGAGCCCTTTCTTATTTTCCATAGTCATGGATGAACTGACAAAATCAATTCAAGACGATATTCTGTGGTGCATGATGTTTTCCGACGATATTGTATTGATTGATGAGACGCAATCAGGGGTTAAAGCAAAGTTGGAAGTATGGCGACAAACATTGGAGAACAAGGGTTTCAGACTAAGTCGTAGCAAGACAGAGTACATGGAGTGCAAGTTTGGTGGAGGTAGAAGCAGTGGTAATAGCGGAATTACTCTAGATTGTAAGGAGATACCGCTCAGCGATATGTTCCGTTGCTTGGGCTTCATAATTCAGAAGGATGGTGAGTTAGATGGAGATGTATCCCATAGAATCAGAACAGGGTGAATGAAGTGGAAGAGTGCGTCAGGATTTCTATGCGATCGAGGTATGCCGACCAGACTGAAGGGTAAATTTTATAGGACAACAATTAGGCCTGCATTACTGTATGGCACGGAGTGTTGGGCGGTGAAATAATGTCACATTCAAAAGATGAGTGTGGCAGAGATGCGCATGCTGCGCTGGATGAGTGGGCATACTAGAAAGGACCGCGTGAGGAATGAGACAATCAGACAAAGAGTGGGAGTAGCACCTATTGAAGATAAGATGCGAGAGTCGCGCCTACGGTGGTTTGGTCATGTGCATAGAAGACCAAGTGATGCAGCTGTCAGACGAGTTGAGATGTGTGGAGAAGAGACAGGGAAGAGAGGGAGAGGAAGGCCCAAACAGACGTGGGTTAGGGGAGTCAGGAGTGATATGCTTCTTCTTGGATTTGATGAGGGTATGGCTTTGGAGAGAGTAAAGTGGAGGGCGGGTATTCGTGTGGAGGAGTGATCTTGTACCATCTTTTCCCCTCATTTTTTTTCTTTTTCTTTTTTTATTATCCTTTTATCCTTATATATAAATATTATTTTTATCCTTTTTATTTTATCTTTTATATGTATATTCATCTCTTTTATATTATCTTTTTTATAATAGCTTATCTTTTTTATCTTTATTTTCTTTCTTTTTCTTTTGGTGATATCATGTATCGATTCATGTCAGCTGACCCCAAAATCGTTTGGGAATTAGGACTAAGGCTTGGATGTTGTTGTTGTTGTGTTGTTGTGTTGCAGTAGTCTGTGTCTTGATTTGCTTCCATGACATTTGGAACGATGCCTCCAGAGTCCAGACTCCAAAGATAGCTCAACTAGTCCTTGGTGTCTTAGTCGGGTTATTGAGTCTAAGGTTGCAAGCATGAGCCTTGAGAGTGTCACCCAATGTTGGGCCTGACCTCTGTGGGATTATATCGTGATTCGGGGAGTGTTTGCAACTGCAGCTTTAAAAAATCATTTTTGGAGTGATTTGAAAAAAGTGACTAATAGTAAAAGTTGATAGTTGTTTGAGAAAAAAGTGATTTTGAAAGTAAAAGTTGGTAGTGCTTGGTAAAATAAGTGTTTTTTGTGTAATGGTAAAGGGAAAAACACTTTTCACACACATGCCTAGAAAAAATAAAAATTAGTAGTGTTTGGTAAATAAGTGCTTTTTGAAGCTAAAAGTTTAGAAGTGCTTTTTTTAAGCTATTGCAGTATATGAAATTTATATTGTATACAGTAGGTGTTTATATATAAATTTGGATGATATAAGGTGAATTTGTACGTAGGTAGACATTTAAAAGGTCGTGGGGAAATCAGATGTGATTGCGAATGAGGTTGGGACAAACAACACGATATAATAGACATTTTATTTATTTTTAATGTATTTATTTTAACTAGAGGCTGTGTTTAGTAAAACAGCATTTAGAATTGCCCTTTAGGTTTTAACTGAAGCGTTCAGATAAAACACCACAAAAGATCTAATAAACGATAGTACCTCTAACATTTAGGATGATTCTAATTGATTTGGTTTCAATCATAAATCAAATTAGACTTGGACAAATTAAGAATTCGACATTTGTAAAATACACATAGAATGAGCATATATCGATTGAACAAGTTCAGACAATACTAGATCAAACTTAAATAGACCAAACAAGAAATTTACAATCCAAATATGAATATTCTTACCTTTATGGTCTTACCTAGAAAATACGGGCAATATCTCATGAGGACCTCAACTGGATAAAATTATACAAATACTAGTATACTACCTCCCATTTTTGAATGTCTCCTTTTAATTTAACACAATTAGTAATAGAGTGATTGAAAAGTAAACACATCAATTGAGAATTGAATAAAATAAAGTAAAATAATAAGAACCACATTTTTTTGCTAAAAAACAATAGGACGTTTTTCATGTTGTTCAGTCACTTCTCTCCTAATTCCGTATAAGTTGGTATTAGACTATTAGTAATTACTAGTACAATTTACACATTTAAAGCTATACAAAACTTTTTACGGGGCAAGAAACCCCAATTTTGCTACAAGTTAAATTGACCACAGGTATCGCAAGTGTTAAGGTCACTAACAAAACAATTATAGAAGGGAGTAGTTATATTATTAAAGAAATTTATCAAATATTTGACAATGAAGAAGACCATGACCATAACTCCATAAGTAGGATAAATGCAATCTCAACTCAGTTGTATCAATGGGAAGTACGAAAATTAGACAAATGTGTCACATCCGTGAAGTATAAATATCCAACAGAATAACACAAGCTAACTTTGTCTATTATACATCATGCTGCCGTTGCCAACTGACAGTACAAGGCAGATGCAGATCATCATAACCTCTTACATTTCACATCATCAGGGTGTTTTCCGTTTTCTATCTCCAAGTAGAACCACCAAGTCGGATAACCTCCTCCGTACTGGTGTCCCTCCTAGAAGCCCCCCTATCATAGTTTCCGTCATCCTTTTGACTGCTACTCAAGTCACCATAGATGTCTTTAAGCTTTGCCAGATTGCTGGAGACCCCAGAAGCCTTATCTTTGCTTACATCATCCTTTGCTGCCGGGCTTCGCCGATAATCAGCATGACTGCCACCATGACTCCTACTCCTACTCCTGCTTCTACTCCTGCTCCTCTCCCTATCCCTTCTACTTCTCCTCTCCCTATCCCTATCATAATCATCATGCCTTCTACCCCTCTCCCTCTCCCTATCATAATCATTCCTCCTCTCTCTATCCCGATCCCTACCCCTATCTGAGTCTCTATCATGCGACCGGTGGTCTCCGTCTCTATCGCGGCTTTGACTACGACGGTTAGCAGGGGACCTTCTAGCATCATCATAGGTAGATGATGATGCTGATGTCAGTGTACGACGGATAGGGGATGAATCTCGGGTTGACGCACGGTGAGGCGCGCGCTGACCGAACGAGACAGAGAGGGAGGCTTTGACTGAAGGTGGCCGGCGAGCAGTTTCTTCTGATCCTCGGCTTGAATCCCCGGTTGAACCAGAAGGTTTCGTAGGAAACTTCATTTTCTCAAGATTTGATACCATCGTGCGCATTATGGGGACCGGGATGCGGGGCAAAAGTGTATCAAAATAGTACTGCAATCAAAACATAAAAGTTCACTTCCCATATCAAGGGGATGATATCTACAGAGCAGTTAGCTTTTGCCACAAACAAAACACTGTAAAATACTCAAAGTGAACTTTAAATATCCAGATACTCAAAGTGCAGTTTACATATCCAGATAATAAAAAAACAAAAAAAAATCAGATATTTAAAAAATGGAGTGGAAAAATTTATGTCTTGTTTGCTTAGGTGATTAGGTGGGGAGGCCTTTTTACCAACATATCTCTATTCAAATCTCTATTCGTCAGTGAAGACAAGAAAAAATCTATATATTATGGTAAAATCATGTCTTTTATATACTTCTTTGTCTTCACTTTATTACCAACCAAATAAATGTGACAATAAATTAAGAAATTATACAACATTTTATCCCTCCTCTTTCCTCCCCTCTGAAATCCCCACTCACAAACAAAACAAGCGCATAGCAAACAGTAAAGAGGCAAAATAAGTTTTACTGATCAAACTGCAGAATGACAGGCCAGTGCTGCTAGTACCCAATTAAGTATGCCACATGCTGTTTCCTCATTTCCTTGTCAACTTGATAGTTCAAAAAAATGGAAAAATTATACGGAAGCTTTCTGTGTAGAGAAAGTTAATATCTTCAGTCAAATCAATGTTCAGGATTAAAAAAGTCAAGAATTTATTATCTTCGCAAAGTGAGCCTTCATTGAAAAATAATAATCATGGGAACCATATTTGCACATGATCAATACATTTGAACAAGTGAAAGATAGTAATGGTTCCCATGATTAACAAAATCAGTGTGTTTAAGGCAAGCACTTAGGATAAGGCAAAAAGTGAGACTACACTATTCCCCACTCCCCAGGACTGGAGAAAACACCTTAATTGATAACAGTAAATCTCATGATCTCAGTATGACTCAATTACATGGTTAGCATCTATTGAGGTTAATTGAAATTTTGTTGTAATTGGCATTCTTAATAGCCTAATAGGTTGATACAACTTTCACATCACTTGTGCATTCTTCCCACTATATATAAAAAGAAACATAAAAAAATCTATGAGGTTAGGTCTGCATGCATAAACGTGTAGCATGGTCATGCCTATGTGAATCAGTGAATAATGCCATGTGGAGCACAAACATTCCACACAACCTTTAAAATAATAAACACATACTTGCAAATAGTTTATAGAAGTAACAGATCCAATTGAGAAAGATTTAACTTAGATGTGCCAGTGAAGTATACATAGAAAGAGAGCATAAACTTGCCTCAACTGAAATAATGAACAATTCAGTTTGCAAATCATATGAGTGTCTGAAACGTGAAGCAGTAGAGTGAAAAAAGAAGCAATGATTATTAAGTAATTATGAGATAAATGGTTTGGCACCTGACCTGTCCCAGGAGCAAGTCGCGCACATACACGCCCATAGTAGTCATTTTACCACTAGATCCAGGAGAGAACTCCTGCATAAAGCATGGTAAGTATATAAGGTAAAAGCTTAATGGGTACCAAAGGCTGCATAGTATGTAAAATTGAAGAATAGGCACCACGACAACTTATGTTCAAAAATCCAAACATAAAAGCAACACAGCAGAAAAAAATTCTTCAGTCCTATAATCAAGTTCTCATTTTGGTTTCTAATAACCTATAATCAAGATCTTGTTTTGGTTTCCGATGTTTGATTGATGATAAAACTAACTATCGTCAATTGAACTACAAACACTGAATTTGATTATCATAAAGATTTAACATATAAATGAGAGATTAGAAGGGAATTAAGTTCTCAGGAATAGTGAATTTTATTGTGGGACAAGGGAAATAATAAATATGAATAGTTAATTAATTGAATAAAGCAGTATATACAAAATGTACTATAATAAGAAAAGCTGCAACCAATAAAATACAGTCAGGCATAAAAATCCAAGAAACCCTCAGACTCGGCTACTCCCAAAATTTTACAAGTTACAACTGACTGAAGCAAACTAAAATGTTAAGAAATAATTACATATTTATGACAAAAATAAAGTTTGTTTACAAAAATGTGACTAAAAACAAGAGTAGTAATAAAACCATAGAACTTATGTTCAACTTTTAAACTTGCCATGACACTACATTGTAGTAACTATTAGTCATATTTATGTAAATGAGTTTTATTTTAGAAATATTTTTGTAAAAAACCCAAATGTTAATAAATCACTTACGCATTACACTTTTCCAGTTTAAGTCATTTAAAAGAACAAAGTGATATGTCCCATAAATGAGCTGGTTGGAAAATAACAAATGACAAAAAAAGGAAGGTAGAAGTGTAAAACATTATTCACACCTCATCATCTTTAAGATATGGCTCATACCAACTCCATAATGTCTTAGGATCTGCATGATATCTGAGGTATAAGAATCCCACCTGGAGAAGGAAAAATTCCTAAATGAGATATTTTACAAAGCTTCACAAAAATGTTCATGCTGAAAGAGAGAGACCTCTTTATATGCCAACCTTATTGATATTGCAAAGATAAACTCTGCCCTTTTAATGAAACTTAGTTCCACTATAAAATTAAAAATGCAACATGATAAGAAAGTCTAACACAATTTTATAGACCATGAAAGCTCTTCTTGCATTTATGCTTGTAATAAAGTCTGTGATGCTTCTTCATGCAATAATATGATAAAATATAATGAGATGTGAAAGAAATGATAACTGAAATTGCATATCTGTGTATGGTTTGAAAGATGAAATTACTCACAGCTCTGATATACGGTGAATCCACGTGCTTTAGAAGACCATGCATTTGTTTGACAGTAAGTTTCATTGTAAAAAACTTGTAAAGAAGGCAGAACGCTGTTGAAGGACCACGGCAGTTTCCAGTCATCCATGGCTCCACATGATCAACTTGATTGTAAATTTCATCAATCACTTCATGATATGTCTTCAACCGCAAAAGATCTCTAAAATAATCGGAAGAAAGAATGTTCATACACAGAACCTTTTCCAACAACTGATCAATTGATTTCCCAGAAGTCCGAATCTCTGCCATAGCTTATATAATACTCACACCTCTGGTAAAATCAAGTAGCAAAGCTAAATAGACTTTCCCACTTTGAGAGCAAACAATGTGAAATTTGTTGCCAGGACTTAATTTTATAACCAAAAGCTTCCTGCAGGAAAAGTTATAACCACCACAATTCAGATGCATCTTAATCCAAGCTATGTAGGTGACATGCAAGCAATAGTTACAATTAATTACGATAAAAATATACTTATACATATGTAGTTTGTTGTGCCAGTTTTTAATTAATTTGTGAAGTGATGCTCACAGTTAATCTGCAGAATTTTGGCATTCCTCCGTACGAAGGCAAGCCTGCCAGCGTATTGATCGGTCATTAAACTACAGCATATTTCAACTCCTAATTTTAGAAAATTATTCATCGTTTGAATGAAAGAACAGATAAAGAACGAACCTCGACAACGCCCTCTAAGCTTTATCGATCTATTCACAGCTAATGAGATATAAAAAGATATGTAAGAACAAACCAAACAAGATGCGATAAAATAAGAAGACAGATAGTAATAATCGATTAACCTCAGCTTAGAAGAACGGCGTGGTGTAGACTGCGTCCAGGGGAAGAGGAAGAGGAGATGGGAACGGAGAGAGCGATATCGCGTACGACGACCGTCTGGCTGAGAGATGAGCGGTACAGAGATGGTAGATCGGATGGATTGGTGCACCGGTAGTAGGATTAGGTTATTCCAGATCTTGGTCAAGTGGTTTTCTAATTGGACCAGGGAAACACTTTGGGCCAATAATAACTTTACATCATTTGATTTGACAAATGTTAAAAGTTAAGGAAAATAGAAATTAATAATTCAACCTTTTAGCGGTCTTCTTACAATAATATCACATTTTCGTTATTCATGAGTAATCCAACATTTTGCATCTCATCTTCGTTCATTGATCTCTTACCGGTTGATGACCTGCTATTCCAAGTTATTTTCTTATCTTTGCAAGTCATTATACCATAAATCCCACCTTTCACAAAGATAATATTTTGCAATGATGAGAAATTAACTTGGAATAGCAGGTCATGAACCGGTCAGGGACCAGGGAATAAAGATGGGGTGCAAAGGTTGGATTATTCTTGAATAACGAAAATGTGGGACTATTGTAAAATGACCGCTAAAAAGTTGGATTATTAGTTTCCATTTTTCCTAAAAGTTATAAGGTGTATTTATAAATATTACTACCTCCGTCCCATATTGGTTGTCCACTTTCAATTTAGCACGATTATTAATAAAGTGGTTGAAAAGTAAAAGTTGTGGTTGAGATTTGAGTAAAATAAAGTGAAATCATAAGGACCACATATTTCTTGCCAAAAAGGGAAACAAGACATTCATGTTGGGACAACTCAAAAAGGAAAGTAGAACAATCAAAATGGGACGGATGGAGTAAAAGTTATGGGGTGTATGTATAAAAATTATTTTTTTGAAAATATATACATCTATCTATTGTTTTATATAGTAAAGCTGAGTTATGAAAAGCTGATGTGTCATCTTCTAATTGGTTAATTAATACAATAATTAACATCACTTTTAGGGCATTAATAATTATTAATACCAAAAACATCGTAATTGATTTGCGGAAAACAAGTAACGTAACTGATTCTTTTAAGTTTGTTTGTTTATAGCAGAACAACAATTTTTGGATTCCAGATGATATCAACTACTTACAAATTAAATTGGAACATTTAATTCATATAGAGTACGATAAACAAAAAATCATATGGAGTAAGAAATTTTTAATTCTAAACAAAAAATCTTTAAAAAAATCATATGTGCATATATTTTACAAATGTCTATCCCAAATTTTAAAAATGCCTAAACTTTTAAGGAAATATAATTTTTTTACCGGCTCATTCCGACGTTAGAGGGCCTCATCCCAAATTTAAAAAACTCCTTAAATTTCAATGTAAAAAATTTCGTGCAACTTTTTCTAAGAAAAAAAAGTTGTACAAGCCCAGTCCGACGCAGTTTCCTGACTCCGCCCCTGAAACGAGGCATGAATTAAATTTAATGGATGAGAGTTAAGTTAATGCTTATAGAATCACATTTATTTCTGTTATTTAGTATATAGGTTTTCACATTTTTACATATTTTGGATTGTATGTAAGTTTGTTATTTCACTTTGTATCACTCAAAAATTAAATTTTGAGTGACACTATTGATTCAAATGACTTCTATTTTAACCTTTTAATTAGAGAAAAATGTTCCATTACTTCTATTTATTTATAATTTAACCTATTTTTAACATTGCATTATTTGATTTATGTTAGAATTCCTTTTAAATGGAAAACATGGAGGTGACTCTCCAAATCGAAGGCAAAAGATTATTCCTCTAAATTAAACCATATCTCTAAAATGTGGGTCCATTTAAAAAAATAAAAACAGATTAGTTATTAATTAAGATTAGCAATTAACACCCCATAACAGATTACCAAATGTTAGGACTAAAGTCGACGATAATTGCTGAGTTACAAAATCTAAACAAAGTTGAATTAAACATCATTTGAATCTAGAGATAGTAACGGGAAAACCAGAGACGATTATGTATATAACCGTACACGCCCCGTTGAGTAATTTTCCTACTCTGTAATCCAACCATTACCCAACATATAAATTTTATTCAAAACATAATCCCCCCACTAGATAATGAGTATAACCGCGGGTAACCATTTTATTAAATGCACGAGTCATACATGTTTTTATATAAAAATTGATAATTTAAAAGGCGGAAGTTTTGTGCATCCTACAAGATGAGAAAGAAGGAAATTTAAATTAATTTGAATCCAAAAATACTTAAACTGTAAAGTAATTAATCAATAAAATACCCTTATAATAACTAAATGAGACTATTAAAATCTAGGGAAAATCGCACTTTTAGTTCCTAGAATAGTCACTATATTGAATTGTCAGACCTGAAATTGTAAATGATACATTTCAATTGTTCAAATTGTTGTAAATATGGTGCTTTGAAGGGTGCAATGTATTCACTCACATTGTACATCTCTCCCTCCATGATCACATTTACAGCAATTTGAACAATTGAGGATGACTATTACAAACTGGGGAACACGAGCCGGTCATTTCAATATGGTGACTATTTCACGGACTAAAAGTGCAATTTTCCCTAAAATCTATTATGAACTTTCATTCATACATTATAGTTAGTACATAAATATTTACACAATGAAAAGAGAAAAATCTCATGTTTTATTAGTTGTGGGACAAATAATAAAAAATGCAATCAATGTATAATTAAAAATGAACGAGACAGGTACAAGGCAAGGCATGCATGTACAAAACCGTAACTGCTCTATTACTCGTAAAACCAAAATCGGTACTCCATGCGTCGTACCCGTTACATGACCAATGCAGTTTTTCCCGTTTTATCGGGGCAATTCAGTGCGAGTATCTATCGGATCAGTCATAACTATTGTTCCTACATTTGACTGATCGAGATATATTGAAAGGCCAGTCACATGATTAGCAAATTTGAACTAAGCATCATGTGATTTGAATTTCAATTTCACATTCTAAGACTACACATTAATTGACAGTGGATATGCAACATGTGATATCACTTTTACAAAAAACAAACAAAATCATATGGAATTGATAATCATGTACCTAAACTATATGGACTAATACGATACATTGTGGGGTAATTATTATGCAACTTTTTTTTACCAAATCTGGCTTTGACAAAGGATTCTAAAAATCAAAGTTCTCAAGTCTATATTTATGTCATAGAGCAAATAAACTTCATGCATCTACTAATATATAAAAGCAAAATCTATGAAAACACTGTTTTTTCAACAGTATTCCCGCCCAAAGTCCTAAGGTAAGAGTCCATAACGTAAATTACATAAATAGCCCTGTGAAGGATAGCCCTGTGAAGGGTAAAATTGCACAACATCAATTAATGATGAAATCAAACAGCTGGGCCGAATTTTTCAGACGTGTACAGTGCCAAATTGGCAGAAATTAGACCGCTATTTACAGAAAGCTACATTACGAAACTTTATGTTTACTCATGCACAGTAGAAACATTAATTAAAGTTCAACAATACACACATTCTAAAGCACCCATCAAGTCTGGCCAGGCTGTTCCAAGGCGTGCGCACACCAAGCTGTCTCTTCATCTCGGTTCACGTGCAAAAAACACAACTCCTCGGTTGAAGTGGAAAAGGCAAATAATACAACTGTCAAACTTGGATACCTGTTCAAAATTAATCCACCAGGGAGAAAACATTATAAATACCTCAACCGAGTCGGCATCTCCCCCCCATTCCAACACCTCATTTTTTAGTAGCCATATATTCTCCATCTAAGAAATTCTCCATCTGAAAATATAGTAGCCATATATTCTCATCAAGGTAGGGTGAACATCATTTTTGTATTTTGATTATCAACAGGTTATCAGATTTTGAAGAACGTGTTTGTGATCATTGATGAGTTGAGAGATATGGACCAAGTGAAGCATTTGAAGTTTATGCAATGCATCATGCATGTCTATATATACAAAACATGTATCAGATTGTTGTGGAGTGCTCAACTAATACTCATTGGGAATTCTGGGTTTGAAAGTATCTTATTTGAGTGCAAAGTACACCTCCTTTTAGAAACAAAAAGAGCGATTTGGTTGAACGAAAAGTAAAACATTTAGCAAATAGAATCTTCTTCCAGATATGAAATTTTAATAAAGTAGATTATTTAGAAAACAAAAGATTATGAAACTAATTATGAAATGGAACATTATCCATCATAGTTTTACATTATTAGTAGTCTAATTTTACAAAAAAAAATCTAATTTAGTCATATTATAGAATTGAATTGAAAACATGATTTTGGTTTACTCAAAGCAATAATATTTAGTACTTGAACTCATCATATCAGAAGCAATTTCTATGATTATATACTACGTACGTAGAATACACGATTGAAAATTACAGGAACTTATTACAGATCAAAAAATATGTTGACAGTTCACATCCTCAATAGATTGATGAACATAGAAAAATTGATATTATGGAAGTTGGATGGCAGACGGCGTAGGCTTTGGGTATTATCAGATGAGGGGGTTAGATTGTTGGCTGAGGCATCCCAAGATAAGGCATGGGATTGTAACTGGAGAGGAGATAGAAGAGGGAGGGTATGAGGTAAGATTGTGAAGAAGATGGTCAAAATTCTGGGAGTTCGTTGTCAGCCACTCAACTGATGTATTGCAGAAGATGAGGAGCCCGTTTGGTAGCACCAAAATCGGCTGTTTGGGCTGATTCTGCTGAAATTTATGATATTCTGGCTGGAGTGGCTGTTTTGGCTGATTCTGCTGATTTAAGAAAAAAATATTTTTAAAATATATTTTATTAATAAATTAAAGAAAAAATTATATGTAAAAATAGCTAAAATGGTCCTCTACAGTAACTTCAGCCAATACAGCCAGAAAAGTAACTCCAACCTTATTTTTTCGGCTTATTACACAATTCAGCGCGCGAAAGTAAAAGTTACGTGTTTGGTGAAAAAGCTGGCTGATAAGCCTGATAAGCCGAAAACAGAGTTCTCCAAACGGGCTCGAGAAGTTGATACTCTCATTCGGAGAAAAAGTTTTTGGGCTGTTGGTTTCTTAAAGAAACACCTCATTTTTAGGCGGTATTATTAGACAACATACACTTACAAGTATATAAATGCAAAATATATCAATATTTTGCTGTAATAAAATTTGCTAATTAAGCTTCAGGCTTTCAAGATGTACTATA